GACAGTCCATTGCGAGTGGAACCAAGGGGGAACGCTTAGGGGCCGAGTAGACTATGGTCGAAGGGTGCGAAAGATGGGATTGCTGACGGGATCGTCAGAGTTCACGTAAGGTCAAACATGGAAGACCGCGAAAACGTTCGCCTGCATATGATGAAGATGAGAAAGCTTAAGCGCTGAATTGTGCATAATAACATTGTTATGATTTTTACGGACGTCACGGGTGGTATTGTTAGGCACACTACTATAAATCAAATATTCAATAAACAAATATTATTAGAAAATATAGCAAGTGTTATACTAACTATAAATTTCCGGGCACTTTTTTGAAGATGACTGGTTTTTTTTGCATATTTCTAGCTTTGATGGGTCGGATTTAAAATTTACACAGAAGTCCAAACCACTTGTATGTCTTCCAACGTCGCAGCAAAATGCCACCCTAAACCATTATGCTTTGTTTTATTGTTTCATTAGAGAGCTGGGGCCCTAATAACCTACCCATTTTCCGGCTGATTGTGTTGTCAAATTTTCGTCACGATCGGCCTAAACTTTATCTTGTGTTCGGAATACGCAAAAACTGCATCCCGTGTGGGTTAGACTGCCTTCATTCCTCACCGCTAGTTATCACAGATGTTGAAGGAAATGTACCAAATTAAGGCAAAATTTCGTACGTATGTTGTTGTTCGCTCGCCGGACTCTAGTAAGAGTTTGAGGGTTCAGACGAATAAAGGCATGATTCCAGTGAGCGAACAGTCTCCTTTCCTGTTCATTTACAAAATTCTCGCCTAAAATGTCCCCGGGGCCGGTGAGTTCAGTGCCGACTGGCCCTCAACATCTTCTAGACATTGTCAAACAACAAGTTACTGACAACATTTACAAGTCTTTTTTTCTTCCCTAGGTTCCAACAACTTAAACCTGCTCATGCCCCACGGTCAGTTTGGTACGCGTCTCACGGGCGGCAAAGATGCCGCCTCACCGCGTTACATCTTCACCTCACTGAGCCCTTTCACGCGAAAAATCTTCAGTGAACGCGATGACGCCATCCTGAATTACCTGTTTGAGGACAACCAGCGGATTGAACCCTTCTGGTACATCCCCGTGATTCCGATGGTTCTGGTCAACGGCGCTGACGGCATCGGCACCGGCTGGGGCACAAAGATACCCAACTACGATGTGATGGAGATCATCGCCAACCTGCGGCGTATGATCGACGGCATTGACCCCCTACCCATGCTGCCCAGTTTCCGGGACTTCAGGGGTGTCATCCAGGAACTGGGGGACAATCGCTATGTCGTCTTCGGTGAGATCGCCATTCTGGATGAGCAGACGGTGGAAATCACGGAACTGCCTATTCGCGTCTGGACGCAATCCTACAAGGAGGGTGTCCTCGAGGTCATGCTGAATGGCAGTGAGAAGGTGCCAGCCTGTATCCTGTAAGTTTCTCTCGTTTACCAGCATTAAAACCCACCGAATCCTTGTTACCGTAGATATATCTAACAACCCGGGCAGCAGCGGTGGTCTATGCGCGCCTTTCTGTCGCCATATAGTAGATTATTTAAATAATGATTCGTACTTTCCCTGCTTTTATAACCTCTACTTTTTATAAACACTTTCCTTCCCATGTAACGCCCAAAATATATAATTCATGTTACTACCGGTCTCGTGCTCTACTGGGAGGTACATTTAACTCCTACCGTCGGGGACTGCCGAGCGTTTTCGTCTTTCGCTAGGCATATGCGTTTGACCGCCATTTATGCCAGAGCAACAACCTCACCTGTTTTGATAGTCCAATGTAAAACACGACCACCAGTAATACTACCGTCATTAGCGTCATTATTATTTTCCGTTTACGAGACTGACAAGAAATGCTGTGAGATAAAATTGACTACCTGTTGAGAGAGATGTTTGGGCTGCTTCACCTTCGACTTCGACCGCTGTAGACGATTCACCAGCCTTTTCCGTGTCAATTTCACGTCTCTCTCTCTCCATGGAGGTTACATCGCAGCTAACTGTTCAGAGAACTGAACGTCGCAGATTTGCTTTCTGATCTTTTTTTTGGAGTTTCGGTTGTTATCAGCTCTCGCTCCAGAGATCGCTTTTAATTCTGCCTTTTTTCCACCCCGCTCCGCCAGGGACTACAAAGAATACCACACGGATGCGACAGTACGTTTTGTCGTCCGCATGACGCCGGAGAAGTTGCGTGAGGCGGAGGCCATGGGTCTGCACAAGTTCTTCAAACTCAGTACAGCAATGACCACCAACTCCATGGTTCTCTTTGACCATATGGGATGTATCAAACGCTATGCCTCTGTAAGCGAAATTCTCAAAGAATTTTTCGATCTCCGACTCGAGTGGTGAGTCTGTGCTTCCCTCCCCTCTCTCTGCCATTATGCATGTTTGACCTCTCTGCTTGATGTTAGTGCATGCGGGACTGTCTTGCTTACTTGTACTTGTAACGGCATTCACCTCGGGCGGGTTGAGCCGGCATCAGTTTTGACGTTGACTGCATCACGAATCACAACTGTCTTGCAGGTCTTATTTTCTGCTAGCTGTCTTGCTACCTATCTAGCTTGTGGCATGTGCGCGAAACAGCTTCTAGCTTGCACCACACCTCCAAAGTTCCAGGAACAAGTACCCCTCCCCCCCCCGCCAAACGTCCCCGACCCAAATGGCTGTCCCAACCGGTTAACTAATGGCATACTGTCAATATGCGCGTGTATCCATCAAACCTTGAGTTTTCAAAATCATTTTGCGTGAAGGGGATTAGAGAGCTTTACCGAGATACTGTTTACTCGACAGTTTTCTGACGATAAAGGATCTCCTACGCGCTGTTAATGCTGATTCTACCTTAGCCTCCGTGACATTCTATCCATAAGCGCGGAGTATAGTTTTTTTTAGCAGATGCAGCTCTATCTTTTGGTCACTTTTGTGTGTGGATGTCGAAGCGCTCACATTACTATGTTGGGGTTGCCAAAAACATCTGCAGCGCTTGCAGTAAAACTACATTTTATGGAAAAAAGTAGTTATTCATTTCAAAATAAAGTCCATTATGCCACCGATCTGCACACATGTTGGATCCTTGGGCTTTGTAGGGCTTTTGCCCCAATCTTCTAAGTCCTCACATGTTAAAAAAGAGGCTAGGAGGAATGAGAAACTCGGATATGCGGAAAAGGCCACCTTTCGGACGCAACGAACAGTCCGAATTCGTGGTGGGCGCTCTGCCTGTGGCATTTGCCCTAGGTGTCTGTCAACCGTGTAAATCAGTCGATATTCCCGTCCTTATTATCCACAAGCGGAGCCAGCTTTCAGACCAATGGGCTCAGTTTGCCCTATTACGTATTTACCGAGATAGAGTGTCCATGATCACTTGCGGCAAGATCTTTTTCATTCTGACGCTGCAAAGAATTCCTACTGAAGCCGATCACTCAAGATCGAATTGTAGACTAGGTATGGAGACTCAAGGCCTACAGTATAAAGAACAACTGTTTACTATCGCCATAAGCAAGCTTGTTTAGCGGCCACCAGGATCAGAATCTAAGTGTCGAACCACCACCACCACCATCACTAGGGGTGTTCGTATTTGGTG